CGACCGTGGTTTTCACCAGCCGAACTCTCAACGCCTTTCATATGCTCCGAATGCGATGCCCTCGGCTCGGAAAGCAAGCTTTTTTGAGGGGACTGAATGATATGCATGGTGTGGCACCGAGGCCGTACCTGCAAGAGCAATTCTCAGTGGCTTACGACCTATTCCTACGAACAAAGGAGGTTCTTCGACTGCGAAGTTGCAAGGGAGTTATCTCGAGACGAACCCCACTGGCGGCTCAAGAATGCGTGCCCATGCTGCCTTTACAAGGTCGTGGGGGAGAACCCCTTGGATCCCCCTCTTTTCATCACCATGGATGGAAACAATTCGCTCAAACGGGTTCAACGGAGGGAGTATCATGTGGGGGCGGACGGTGAAAAGATACCGGGAGCCTCAGTCGAATGGATGGACAATCGAGTCCCCCCCCGGGACTACTACATCCCTGCTGAAGAGGTCAACCGCTTTGACAAGGATCGGATAACGCAATTCATGCGGGACTTTCTACCGGACCAAATACTCCGCCGATGACGCCGGCTGTGGAGAGGGTTGGCATAATATGAAGGAGGACATCGTGAAGAAGGCCCGAGGAATCTACCATGAGACTGGTCTCTTCGCCAGTTTCTGCCGACACTCAGTATGCTGTACCGTCAGTGACATGATCAAAAGTGGAGAGCTGTGAGTAGATATCTACTAACTCCTCCACTAACTCCCGTCCACTAACTTCCTCCAGAGCCAAATATGGCCTGGCAGCGACCTACCACCTGCTTTCCATCCTCGGCAAGTACCGACTTGGCTACGACATTGGATGCAAATTCGAACTATGGGTCTATAGCCACCCTCTCTGTGCACCCGTCGCCCATCGACATGGCTTTGAGGCTGTGGTGGGGGGTTTCACGGGACTGGCCACAAACGATTATGTCAGTTGCTCAAGATGCCCATCTATACGGTTGGCAGTGGATTGGAGGGGTCTGAAAATGCTGAGAGTATCTTTTCCAAATCAAACGCTTTGGCTGGGACCACCCGACATGCCTCTACCTTCCACCGACAGCAGGACATCGTGGAGTACTTTGCCCATGCTGACAACTTCGATCGTTGGCCAATATCAGTATGCCCTATTATTCTTTCTCTGAATATACATTCTAAAGAATCTGTTCAGCCTCTCTGATTGACAGTAAATATCGAGCTGCAGTTGCTGTGCTACGACTCAAGGAGAAGCTTTTGGAGACTATGGATGCCTTGGGGCTGGATAGGGAGAACAGAGCAGTGTTTGAGACGTGGTTAGCCGATGAAATCAGAGCGCTGAGAAAGCTGCCCAAGGAACCGCCGGAGGAGACATTGAAGATGGAACTGTGGCAGAAGTTAGTGGACATGAGGGAGGCTAAGTAAGGACCTACTTCCGGCAACCTGACTTCTACTGACGGGATGGTTAGATGCAAATTCGATGAGATCAGAAGAGAAGACATAATCATCGTCCCCGCCCCGATGACCCCTCTTATCCACAAATTCTCAAAAAATTTTCAAAAGTCGAAACTCAACGACGGCGGGTTATAGACCGCTATGAGAGGTGCATCACCCTGGTAGAGGATTTGGAACGTCGTTTGGGGATTGGACATATGGACCGCTGGACCCCAGAGTGTCCAGAGTGGATCGAGGCAGAAAAGCTCGTAAGGGAACATCGATACCGGAAATCCTTGGACCGGCTTCAAGAACTGATCGTGTCTCGAATCTTGCAATTAGCAAAAGCGAATATGGTTGAGACGGGTATGCCACTAACTCCCTCCTCATAACCTGTCTACTAACTCCTCCCTTAGGATACAAGATGAGGAGACACATTGCTCAAGCCATTCAAGCTGGTTCTAAAACTCTACGGAATGCATTGGACAGGTATAATGACGCAGCCCAAGAGCTAGGGGATCGGCCGTTGCTGACCTGGCTCGAAATATTCGAGATGGAGGTGTTGGATGATTTTGACCTTCTTCGGTTGGCTCGGGAAGATATTCGAGGAGCTGCCTGGGCCCAACCGGGAGCTCGTTCTGCCATGGACCTTCACTTCAAGCTAGAGAGGGCAGAGGAAGAGAGGAACCGTCTAAATGTGGAGATCAAAAGGCTGGTGACCTGGATGAAGGAGGAGCATGACTTTCTCGTCTACCATGAGAGGCGGTTGGCAGAAAATGGGGAGAAGGCGAGGGCATTACAGGTTCGAAAATACAGGATGCTGCAGGGACGATTCTACGGAATCCATCGAACGAGGCTGCAGAAGCTGAGCCGTCTTCCGGGTTTTACTGGCGATATTGAGCCAGGACTTGGAGCTTGCCCGATTCGAAGATCAGTCAGTCTCCGAGGGGTGAGTGACAGGAATGTGGATGAGATAGATCAAGCATTGGCAGAGTCAGCGGTGGAAGAAAGGTTGAGGAATGAAGGGGATGATGCCGGCGCTGAAGAGGTGGATGATGTGGATGACGTGGAGGCCGAGGCTACGGATGGCTTCGAGGCAATACTAGCTATTACGGAGGATCAGGATAGTTAGTAGCTATAAAGGGTCCCGTGCGAAGCGTCCACTAACTCCCGTCCACTAACTTCCTGCTACGGAGTTAGTGGAGATGAGATTCTCAGTGGGCCCCTTTGCACATGTGTAAGGTCCATCGGGGCCGAGTGAGCTGCTTCGACTGCACAGAAGCTCCTATATTGAGCTGCTTTGACTCTACAGAAGTTAGTAGACATCCCTCGTTATAGGGGGCTAAGGGACTGAGGATGTCCACTAACTTCCGGAAGTGCCACTAGTAGGGACGAACGATGACGGAGAGACGTCCACGGGGGGTCCCATGGCATCCAATAGCGTATCGTAGCCCACCACCTATTTTATGGACCAAAGTAGTGAAACGCGTCTACTAACTTCCTGAGCACGGAAGTTAGTAGACAGGGTCATCTAAAGTATCACCGCTCCAGCCTTCCACCGGGGGGAAAACCCTGCCACTGAGCTTTCTAGGGCATATAATATCATGTCGGAGCCCAATGGCCATTTTATGGACCAAAGTAGTGAAACGTCTACTAACTTCCTGAGCACGGAAGTTAGTAGACAGGGTCATCTAAAGTATCACCGCTCCAGCCCTCCACCGGGGGGAAAACCCTGCCACTGAGCTTTCTAGGGCATATAATATCATGTCGGAGCCCACCACCTATTTTATGGACCAAAGTAGTGAAACGCGTCTACTAACTTCTCGAGCACGGAAGTTAGTAGACAGGGTCATCTAAAGTATCACCGCTCCAGCCTTCCACCAGGGGGAAAACCCTGCCACTGAGCTTTCTAGGGCATATAATATCATGTCGGAGCCCAATGGCCATTTTATGGACCAAAGTAGTGAAAACGCGTCTACTAACTTCCTGAGCACGGAAGTTAGTAGACAGGGTCATCTAAAGTATCACCGCTCCAGCCCTCCACCGGGGGGAAAACCCTGCCACTGAGCTTTCTAGGGCATATAATATCATGTCGGAGCCCAATGGCCATTTTATGGACCAAAGTAGTGAAACGCGTCTACTAACTTCCTGAGCACGGAAGTTAGTAGACAGGGTCATCTAAAGTATCACCGCTCCAGCCCTCCACCGGGGGGAAAACCCTGCCACTGAGCTTTCTAGGGCATATAATATCATGTCGGAGCCCACCACCTATTTTATGGACCAAAGTAGTGAACGCGCGTCTACTAACTTCTCGAGCACGGAAGTTAGTAGACAGGGTCATCTAAAGTATCACCGCTCCAGCCCTCCACCGGGGGAAAACCCTGCCACTGAGCTTTCTAGGGCATATAATATCATGTCGGAGCCCACCACCTATTTTATGGACCAAAGTAGTGAACGCGTCTACTAACTTCTCGAGCACGGAAGTTAGTAGACAGGGTCATCTAAAGTATCACCGCTCCAGCCTCCCACCAGGGGAGAACTCTCCCGATAGACCTCAAATGGTCTGAGATGCGCCATATATGTGCCCACCAGCTGCGTTGTTGACCAATGCACCGACGGGTTAGTGGACATTCTACATCGTAAGGGGGGACCCTTACAAACTGAGGATGTCCACTAACTCCCATCCATGTCACTATCGTCGATGCGTACAGTAGGGCAACGAGATGGGCTTTCAAGCAGATGTCCCATAGCCCCACATCCCGCATCTGTGCCCACCAAACGCGTTCTGAACCAAAGTGAGTGTCTACTAACTTCGCGAGCACGGAAGTTAGTAGACATGCCAAACTTTACTATGCTGAATTTGAACTTGTTCGGGATCAAAGCCCTCCAAGGATACCTTCCATAGCTTCACACCTCACAGTTGTACCCTTTGGACGGTTTATCGACCACAGTGATGGAAGATGTCCACTAACTTCCCTAGCTCAGAAGTTAGTAGACATACTCAACTATATTGTCACAAGTGCTGGACTTCAGCAGGACGAAAGGCACTCCAGTATATCTCCCATGGCCTTGAAAGCCATCCTTGCTCCCCCCTTCCTGTTTTATAACCCCAAGTAATCAAAGATGTCTACTAACTTCACAGGCAAGGAAGTTAGTGGACATCGTGGCTTCTTGCCAACTATGCCTCATATCCCCTACTGACAGTCCCAACACCTTCTATAGAGACTTACTTATATGTTGCTCGAGGACCTACATGTGCATACTGTACATAGTTAGCCCTTACTAACATAACCTGAAGTTAGTGGATAGGATAAGTTATTAGAGAGGACCCTTACAGCTAGGATCACCATTACCTACCTATAACCTCCCCTGACACCGGGACTGACACCCAAATTGCCCTACATACCCATACCATACTAAAATCCTCCAAATATCACTTATAAAAGATGTCTACTAACTTCCGACTCATCCATCACTAGATCAAAAGGCTTGTATCTCCTTAACTACTCAAGCTATTAATAAACGGTCTGTACATCTGGTATCAGCAGAGCATTCTGCACAACTTTCATTTTTTGATGCGCCATCAGATCGGGACGGTGGGCGGGACCATGGGCGACCCCAAGATCAGCAGCCATCAGTAACTTTGATGGCAGTGATGGGATGAGGGCGGGGAGGGGCGGGCGGAGGGCGGGACTTGACAGCAGACAGCGATGATGACCTTCGCTGTCATCGTGTCATCCGGTGATCATCCTTTGATGCTCCGGCCAGCCCGCTCCCCCAGCCCGCTCCCCCCCACCCGGCCTCCCCCTTCCCCCCAAAGACCTCCCGTCTACTAACATCCTGTCCACTAACATCCAGAAGCGAGTTTAAGGAAACACCGCAGATTTCCATTATCCCCTCTAGTTAGAGCTTCACCCCCCCTGAGGCTCTAACTAGAGGGGATAAGTGGGCAGGTTAGGTGCCGACACGAGCAAGAAGGCACCAGCCCCACCCAAGAAGGCAGCGCCACCGCCCAAGAAGAACGACGCCGGCAAGAAGGCTCCACCCCCAAAGCAGGCGCCACCGAACAAGGCACCACCTCCAACCAATGGGAAGAATAACGGCAACAAGCCGCCTCCGCCACCCGCGAAGACCGACACTGACCCCCAGTCGTCCCTCAGTGCGCTATCCCGTCTCAGTTAAAATAATTCTTGATCTTTCACGTAGCGCTCCTCCCCGAGGTTGTGGCCAAGGGCTTTCTTGATAATGGACAGAACCCGCCGGTGAAGGGTCAGACGGCGTCCACGACAAGCAAAAAGTATGTTTACACTCTGTTTCTACATTGTCCCTCTCTTCGGCCTTCACTGTGGATGTCCTTGTTTATGCACCCTTCCGATGGATTGAGCACCAATTACTGACCCGTTTTCTCTAGCAACTACATCAACTTCTGTGCAAAAACGCTATCGACTGTGCCGCTGACGAATGGCAAGCAGGTGACGGGTGGGTCGTGCAACCCAACACCAATGGGGATGATTCCATCGGTGAGTCATCATGTCTTGAGTTGTGGTTTTTGGCTAACATATCCCAGGTCGAGCACATGCCTGCGGCCAAGTTCAACTTCCCCCGCAACACGGATGTGATCAACGCAAATGTGCCATTCAACGCATCACTCAACATTGCGAACTTCCAGACTGGGGTGTTCACCAACGCACAGAAGACGTACTTTGCTGCACCGCAGACGCTTAATGCACAGGGACAGATAATAGGCCACACGCACATTGTAATTGAAAAGGTTTGCCATCCTTTTCCATACTGTTTGCTCTATTTTTTCCTCACATATGTTACAGCTCACAGCGCTCAACCAAATTCTGCCTACGGACCCAGGCAAATTTTTCTACTTCAAGGGTGTTGATGGCCCAGTCAATGAATTTGGTGAGGCACTTGCACTTGTTAGCACTGGGGTCCCTGTGGGCTTTTACCGTATGTGCTCGATCAACACAAGTGCAAACCATGCACCTGTGGTTGGGCCCATTGCCCAGCATGGCAGCTTTGATGACTGTGCATATGTATGTGTTTTTCTCTCATATTATATGACGTAAACTTATCTGTCTTTAGTTCACCGCAAAGTAGTGTGATAATTGTAGATAATATAGGCTGTGTGATGTGCATTATTCTGTGTTGTTTAATCACTACTGTAATATTTTAATCAATTTGTCACTTATGTGTGACACTAATGTTGAGTCACACCTTCTGTATAAGGTAATGGCAAAGTACAGAAAATCAGTTGTCTATGAGATCCATGCCGACTCCGGCATCCGTGTCAGCGTCGGGCTCGGGCCGTATCGTGGCGTCGGGGGGATCCGACTTCGAGAGGGTCTAAGGAGCACGAGAGATGGGTGTTAGCCCAGAGAATAGACGATATTAGCCTAGCGACTACATCTTGTAAGTACGGTTTATATACACTACGATATTAAGGATGAATCGGATGGGCGCCAGGTCCCAGGGCCGATCGGATGGGCGCTGCGTAGGGCCGCAGGGGTGAAGGGAAGGGGTTGGAAGAATGGGGGAGCGTTGAGGAGTATGGCGGTTGTGGGGGCCCAAGCGGGCCCAATCGGCCCCGTGCGGCCCGGCGGCCCGACCCGAACCATGACATCACCCCCTCCGTTGTGGGTGGCGTCTCGACGCCCTATGGGTCCGCGCTCCCTGATCTTCTTTGCGAATTTTCCACCGTCCATTTACAAGTTCTTTGCGGGGCGCGAACGGGTTGAGTGCATAGAAATCCTCGAGTGCCTCCTCCGCGCCTTCGAGTTTGTCCCGCGATTCCCATGTCCACTCCTCCCAAGGGTAGCCCTTCCATTGAACTAGGTACTTCAGTCGGTGTCATCCTTGTTTGCGTACGAGGGAAATAGCCTCTACTTCGTAGTGCGGCTCCCTGTCGCGCATCTCGGCCGGGGGCGGCAGGGCGGCCCGCTGATGATCTGCCACGGGGGCGTTCCAGGGCCACCTGTTAATCCCAATTATCTCTTCTAATTAGAATGGGCACCCAAGCGCTGTCCATTCTAATTGGAAGGGATAATTGGGATTAACAGGTGGGGACACCCTGAGCCCTAGTGCAATCCAGCTCCATAGGGACGGGAGCTGGAGGCGCTGGAGCGGGGGCGCGGGCCGCAGGTGGCATGACTGGAGCCACCGGGCGGAAAGGGGCCGGAGCCGGGATGCGGAAGGTGTCAAAGTGAAGATGAAAGGGAAAGGTGTGGACTCACGCGTGGGTGGAAGCGGCCGAAAATCTTCAATTTCTGTGCCACACAATGGGCGGAAAAAACCGACGAGTACCTGGCCGGCATCCGAACGCTGTCACCTGCGTCATATTCCAAGGTCATGAAGCAAGCGGAGGCTTTGCGGCTTGGGAGAGGAACTGGTCAGGATGATGATGATGACGATGCATTTGAGAGTGGGCCAAGCAGGGCGAACCATCGATCCGTTCTTCATCTGTCGGACGAGGAGGAGGTAGAGAATGTTGATTAGGGCTTGCAAGCGGTTGAAGTGTGGGGGTGCAAAATGTGTATACATCAATGAATCTATCTATCTTACACGAATTCTGGTGTGCAAGTAAGATTCTGACGATAGGTCTGTAGCGAGTTCTGTCGCTAGGACATATTCTGGCAGCAGTATCTGTTCTGACGCATACTGGTGCGCGACACGTTTCTGGCGTCAGCTCTATTTCTGCCAAGCTGGCAGAGCTGACGTACCTAGTCCCAGCTCTGCCAGCTCGTTTGGGAATTCCTGATGGACTGAATAAGGGGAGCAGAAGCTCAAGGCGGATAGGCCGTGAAGGGAAGAAGCAAGCCAGAATTAATGATTGTGTAGACTATATAACATGGATGATGCTCTGGCTATCAACATCAACATATAACAATTCTTCAAATGAAATGTAGTATGTCTGTCGTGGAGTCAGGATTAAAAGCCTGTACAGTTTACATCTGCTCCAGGCTACACACCTATCCCTTCATGCTCTTCAGACCCCTGCCATCAGACCCCCGACTATTCGAGACAACCTGAGCCCAACGCTGACAATTATAATGTTTTAGTGGGAGTGACCCCTATCTTTGTCTTATAAACAACCTGGCTGGATCCAATGCTATACTATTATCATAATGAATTGATTATATTGATGAGGCCAGCACTCAGCAAGTAATCAAGTAAAGTTCCGCGGCTCGTAGGTGCCTAAATGATGCAGATCATGATTCCTCAATTGGTCGCAACAGCCGCGCACAGCATTGACATCAATCTCTTCCATCACCTTCTTTAACTCGCTCCCACCATCTTGCAGCACACTTCACAATCCCTTACTCCTAGCCATGGGCCTCATTCCACCTGAGCTCATCACCATTATTGTCACCAACATCGACGGCCAGGAAGACCTCAAGTCGTGTTGTCTCGCGGCCTCCCCTTTCCGTTCGCCTTGCCAACAGCGTCTGCTAGGCTCCCTTTCTCTCGGCGGCCGGACGGCGAGCGCGAGAAGTTATGCCAAGGCGTGTGTGCGCTTCGAGCGCTGGCCCCACCTCGCCCCGCTCGTCGTCACGCTCGATCTCGCGCTCAACAGGATGTCCAAGGAGGATCTCGCCGCCCTCGATGCCGCAACAGTCACCACGCTACTTGTACGGCTCACGCGGCTCAGGACAGTCCGCGTGTTGGGCGACAATGACGTTTGGGAGAGGGTTCCTGCGTCATTGTCCGGTGCCGTTACCAATTGGCTCGCGCTGGTGGCCCACGACCGCGACTCCAGCATCCTGCGGCATGTCTGCTTCTCGTACATCTGGGAGATCCCGCGCCCGATAATTCATAGCGTTCTCCGGGCGTTGGCGCCGCATTCTCGGCTGGAGTTCAAGGCTGCAGAGGTGGACGAGGCTGAAGGCAACGCTGTGCTCCCATACACGATGCATCCATTTGAATTGCACTGCGAGTCGAGGGCGGACATCGATATCCTAACTACCCTCGCTCAGCCGGAATTTCTACCATCCATCCACCGCTTACGCAAACTTCTCGTTCCATCGACCACGGTGCCCTTTTCGAGGAATCGATGCGCTTTTGTGAGGCAGTGGCCCATAATCTCGAGCATCTGCAGCTCAAGGTTATCTGTACGTCCGCTTAAGACTTCCGCATGCTTCCCTGCTAACACGGCATTATCAGCCACACATGGCAATGGACCCGTCAGGTTGCCGCGGTGTCTCTCTGCACTCACGCAGCTCACGATCACCTTTTCATCGCCCACCAACAGGTACCGGAACGACGAATACTTCTCGTGGCTGCTGACCACGGTCGTTGTGCCGCTGCTCCGTCCGGCGGCGACCCCGCAGCTCACGACGCTCGCGCTGACGAGCCGGATATACGGCTACCAGGAGCTGAACAACTCCGCGCTCGTCAACGTGATCCGCTTCAACACCGGGCCCGCGGGGGGCAGTCTTGGCAGACTTGACAACGGCCTCGCGGGCCGGCGCGTCCGCCTGGCGCTGGTCTTCCAGGTTGTGGATCCGCGGCGGGGGTTGGCAGCGGCATATACGAGGGTGCAGCAACGGGCCGTCGTGGACGCACTGCGGGAGGACCTTTCGGGGCAAATCGCACAGGGCTTGCTCGCCGTTGTTCTCGAGGAGGACTAGTCTGCACTCCGCGATGAGAAACCGTGTTGGTGTTGTTGCGCGAAGGATGTGCCAGTCCGCGCGAGGACTTCAACGAAGTGAAAAGTATGTGAATAGTGGGATTCGTGTCTATTGTTGTCATATAGTAATGTGAAAGGAGCCTGAGGGGAATATTCTCGAGATTCACCAGCGACAAATTATATCGTCCCCTGGCTCCGGATCCATTCAAGTTGAATGCTTCATGCTATTAGTTGAGATACAGTAAACAAGAGATTGGGGACATATTGACTGCTCAGTCCGCTCTGCCCAATTGACCGCTCTGCTCACTTTAAAAGCGTGGGTCCCATTGCCAGGCTGCCTAAAAGGCTGTAGCACAGATACAGTACTCAAGCTGTCACCACTAAAGCACGGGCAAGTGCTCAGATATAATATATCAGGGCCCTGGTAGGTGTGGGGATTATGAGGAATGATGTACGCGAGCTATGCCGCAAGGAACGAGCAGCCAAAAAGCTCCAAATCTATCTTCAGAAAGGCGCGTGGGCCCGCGGCGAACGGGCGGCCATCTTCGCAACCAGATTGCCTGCGTCTGCAGACCGGAGGGGCCTCTCTGCTCACTCTGAAAAGCAGAAGAGAGAGAGAAAAGGAGAAATTAGATGCAAGGTATAGAGAACAAAGTATGCGTATCAAATGCTATGCGATGCTAGACGACTATGCTACTTAGAAGCGGAAGAAACGCGAGTAGGCGCGCGCGACGACCTCGGGCTCGACGACTTCGGGCTCGACGCTGTGATCCCGTCAGCAAACAGCAAATCAAGCAAGGAAAGGGACGCACATTTCCTCATCGACGATCTCAGACTCGTCGACGATCTCGTCAGCGCTGCGGTTGGGTTAGCGCAAGCAAAACAGAGAAACGGCACACTCACCCAGCCTCATCAACGACCTCCTCGGTGAGCTCCTCGCCCTCGACGGGGGCAGGCTCGCCCTCAGCGACGGGGGACGGCTCGCCGATGGCGATGGCGTTGTTCGACGCGTTGTTGATGGCGTTGACGTCCTCGATGGACTCGGGGAGCGCTTCGCCCTCGACGACCTCGCCCTCGACAGCGCCAGCCTCGTCGACGATCTGCTCATCGCCGGTGATCTCGGTCAGCTCCTCACCCTCAACCGGGGCAGGCTCGCCCTCAACGACGGGGGAGGGTTCGCCGATGGCGATGGCGTTGTTGGACGCGTTGTTGATGGCGGTGACGTCCTCGATGGACTCTGGGAGCGCTTCGCCCCCGACGATCTGCTCATCGCCGGTGATCTCGGCTTCACCCTCAACAACAGCCTCGCCTTCGACGCCAGCTTCGCCTTCGACGCCGGTCGCGTCGCCAGCAGCAGCAGCGTTGTCGATGGGGGTGATCTCCTCGCCCTCGACACCAGCCTGCTCGCCGTCAACGACTTGCTCGCCATCAACGATCTGCTCTCCGTCAACGATCTGTTCGCCATCAACGACCTGCTCGCCCTCAACACCAGTGACAGTCCCGTCGATGCCAGTCTCGCCAGCGACAGTTCCGTCGATGCCAGGCTCGCCAGCACCGGCGTTGTTGATGACAGTCGCATCACCATCGACGGTAACGTCCGCACCAGCGTTGTTGTTGATGTTGATGTCAACGACGTTTCCGCCACCGGCGATCGCACCAGTGCCGACAGTGCCAGCTCCAGCTCCAGCGCCGATGTTGTCGATTCCAGCGCCGACACCAGCACCGAGGCCGGTGTTGTCAATGCCCGCGCCGATACCAGCGCCGAGGCCGGTGTTATCGAATCCACCACCAACGCCGAGTCCAGCGTTGGGGTCAACGATGCCAGAACCGACACCGACGCCGGAGCCAACTCCAGCACCGCCGATGATGCCGCCGATCGCGTTTCCGATGGCGTTGCCAGTGTTGACGCCCGCGCCGTTCAGGCCGAGCCCGACACCACCGCCGTTGATGATGCCGTCGATGATGCCCTTGCCCGCGTTGCTGATAACACCGCCGATCGCGCCGCCGATCTTGGCTGCGGTCGAGCCGGTGCCAGTCGCAACATCAGCGCCGACGCCAGCGCCAGCTCCGACGCCGAAGGTCGGGTCGTTGAACGCGGGGTCGTTGAAGGCGGGGTCGTTGAAAGTGGGGTCGGGGAACGTCGGGTCGGGGAACGCGGGAGCGGCGGCGCCGGTGTTAGCGCCGGTGTTCACCTTGGGGGCCGCGGCCTTGGTGTTCTTGGCCGGGGCGGGGGCAGCGGGAGCGGGGGGAGGAGCAACGACATCAGCGCCAGTGTCAACTGGGGCGACGTCAACTGGGGTAACGTCAACGGGTTCGACGTCAACGGGTTCGACGTCAATGGGGGCAGTGTCGATGGGGGCGACGTCAATGGGAGCAGTGTCAACTGGAGCGACGTCAATGGGAGCAGTGTCGATGGGTGCGTTGTCAATCGGGGCAGTATCGACGGGGGCAGCAGCGGGGGGAGCAGCGACAGCGCCAGTGTCAACGGCAGCGGGAGGAGCGGCCGCAGCAGCGCCAGTGTCGACAACACCAGCTCCAGCACCAGCTCCGATTCCAGCAGCGGCGCCGGCGTCCACGACACCAGCGCCAGTGTCAACGGGGGGCGCGGCGACAGCGCCAGTGTCTACAACACCGGCACCACCAACGGGGTCAACAACCGCACCCGCTCCTATCGTGGGGTCAACAGCGCCGGCTCCGATCCCAGCGCCGAGCCCAGTGTCGACGCCAGCTCCAGCACCGACGATGGGGTCAATAGCACCAGCGCCGATCCCAGCGCCGATCGCGCCAGCAGCGTTGTCGATGGCGGCACCGGCACCGGTCGCGGGGTCAACAGGGGGGAGAGCACCGGCAGCGGGGTCAACAGGGGGAACAGCAGCGCCGGCAGCGGCACCAGCAGCAGCGGCGTTGGGGTCGACGGGGGGCTCGGTGATGGCCGGGGGAGCAGCAGACGCGGCGGCGGCGGGGTCAGTGGGCGCAGCGGTGTTGACAGCTGGTAACACGCGTTAGCCTTCATCTCCAACGCGAAAGCGGATACGACTCACCTGTGGACGCACGTGCCGACTTCGCGGCCTTGGAAGCCTTAGCGGCCTTGCTCGCCTTCGCAGCTTTCGCCGACTTGGTAGCCTTCGCAGCTTTCGCGGACTTGGTGGCTTTGGCGGCCTTGGACGCCTTGCCCTTTGCGGCCTTAGCGTCCTTCGCGACGGCGGATTTGGCGGCCTTGGCAGCTTTGGCGGACTTGGTAGCCTTTGCGACGGCGGACTTGGCAGCCTTCGACGCCTTCGCGCCCTTAGCAGCCTTAGCAGCCTTGCCCTTGGCGGCTTTGGCATCCTTAGCGGCCTTGCCCTTGGCGGCTTTGGCGTCCTTGGCAGCCTTGCCCTTTACCGCTTTGGCATCCTTAGCGGCCTTGCCCTTGACTGCCTTCGCATCCTTAGCGGCCTTGCCCTTGGCTGCCTTCGCGTCCTTAGCGACAGCGGACTTCGCGGCCTTGGGGGCTTTGGCAGCCTTCGAGGCCTTGGGGGCAGCGGATTTGACGGCTTTCGAGGCTTTGGCGTCCTTGGCGTTTTTCTTTGCGGCGGGGGCCTTCGCGTCTTTCTTGGCAGCTTTGGCGGCCTTTGCGTCCTTCTTGGCAGCGGGCGCTTTCACGTCCTTCTTCGCGGCTTTGGCGGCCTTGGCGTCTTTCTTAGCAGCGGGCGCTTTGGCATCCTTCTTGGCGGCCTACCCCGATAGTCAGCTTCGCAGAGAATAACAACGGCGGCTCAACGCACCTTGGCAGCACCCTTCTTGGCATCGCCCTTCTTAGCAGCGACCTTGGGCGCCTGGGGGACGGACGTTAGGGGAATGGGACTGGGTAAGAGGGGCACGCACAGCTTTGGCGTCCTTGGCGTTCTTCTTCGCGGCGGGAGCTTTGGCGTCTTTCTTGGCGGCGGGAGCCTTAGCGTCCTTCTTGGCGGCTTTGGCGGGCTGTGGAAGGCGTTAGACGAATGAAACTGGCAAGACGATGACGACGAACGGCCTTGGCGTCCTTCTTAGCAGCAGGGGTCTTAGCATCCTTCTTTGCGGCTTTGGCGGGCTACGGGCTCGTTGGACGGATGAAACGGGGGGGAAAGACTATGACGCACGGCTTTGGCGTCCTTCTTGGCGGCTTTAGCGGGCTGCGGAACGTTAGGGGAATGAAAAATGGGTAAGACGACGACGACGCACGGCCTTGGCGTCCTTCGCGTTCTTCTTAACGGCGGGCGCTTTGGCGTCTTTCTTAGCAGCAGGGGTTTTGGCGTCCTTCTTGGCGGCTTTGGCGGGCTGCAGAGCGCATTAGCCTGATGGAACGGGGTAAGACGACGACGCACGGCTTTGGCATCCTTCTTAGCAGCGGGGGTCTTAGCATCCTTCTTCGCAGCAGGAGCTTTGGCGTCCTTCTTCGCGGCCTTGGCGTCTTTCTTAGCAGCGGGCGCTTTCGCGTCCTTCTTGGCGGCTTTGGCGGGCTACGGAACGCGTTAGACGAATGAAACTGGTCAGACAACGACGCACGGCTTTAGCGTCTTTCTTAGCGGCGGGGGCCTTAGCATCCTTCTTAGCAGCGGGGGCCTTAGCATCTTTCTTAGCAGCAGGGGCCTTAGCGGCCTTCTTAGCGGCCGGCGCCTTTGCGTCCTTCTTGGGCGCAGCAGCGGCCTTTTTCGCGGGGGCCGCAGCCTTCTTCGCAGCGGGCTTCGGCGCGGCCTACGTTGTCCAGTCAGCAACCCTCCCAACAAGAAGGAACACAGCCACGCACGGGTTTGGGCGCGGCCTTGGGCTTGGCGGCGGCCTTCTTCGCCTGGCGGGCCACAAGGTCGCCCTCCGCGGCACCGGCACCGGCCATGAACGCGATGGGCGCAGCGGCGGCCTCGAGCGCGAAGAGCGCCGCGAGGAGCGCGGCGACGGGGAAACGCATGTTGTCGTGAAAAAAAGGGGTCGGTGAAGAAAAAAGTTGTTTTGGGGGAAGGGGGAAGGAAGGTCCTGCGGCTGGCGCGGACGGAGCGAGCGGGCGGGCTAGCGCGCCGGAACGAAGAAGAGGGAAGAAGAAGGGGAAGGGGAGAAAGGGCTAGCCCGAACGAAAAAAAGCGGAGGGGGGGAGAAGGGAAGGGAGGGAAGGGGGACCCAGCGCACGAGGGGTACATATATTGTCGCGTTGCCGCGTAGGCGCCCGGGGGCCCAAGCCGTGTTTCAGGGTGACCGTTGTCGTCGCCGGTGTGCAAATGCTGGTGGCGCGATTGAGAGTCGAGGCCGTGACTGATCTGATGGTCACACACCCCTGATCCCTGATCGCTCACCCGTGATCGCTGGTCGCCCAGCCCAGCCCGCGAAGAGCCAGAGGGCGTCTCAACTTGTGCGCTGTGCGCTGTGCCGCCGCGGACGAGACAAACACCCCCCCCACCCAAGGGGAAATGCCCATCGGCAGTGTTTGGCTTTGGCGCCGGCGTCAGGCGCCGATCAGCCGATCCGATCCTCCCGATTCCCGGGTCCCGGTGATCTGGCGCTGGCGCTGTCGATGCCGTGAATCGGGACGCGACAAACCCGCGGTGTGTCAGCGGGTACCGTTCGCCGGCGCCGCGTAGTTTGCGGGCATCGCGCGTGTGCAGTGCGCAGATCGCGGAAGCCTGTCGCAAAATTAAAATGGCTCTCTACCCTGGGGTCGGGGTTGGGGGGTGGCGGTTCGACACTGCGCTGGAGGCTTTATAGTATTTGAGTTTGCCGTAGAATGTTTTTTCTCTGTATCCTGTAGTTAACCAGCCACTTGCGGAATATTTATTACAAGGACCAACTTGTAAGGGCAACCCTGGAGGCCTGAGATCAAGGTCCTAGCAGGGGAGGATCCAAAGAGAAGAAACTCTAAGGGTCCGCCTGCTAGGGAGCTGACTATATACTGCTTGTCGGTAGCTGCCGCTGTTGGGCACAGAAGGCTTGGGCGGCGTCGCAGGCGAGGTCCCAGGGCGACTGTCGGGAGGGCGTTGACGGATCGGTGATTGTGCAGGCGAGATGGAGGGCCGGACCGGAGTCGGAACCGGAATCGGACGCCTCTCCGGGCCGAAAGGGAGGTTCCCCTGACACAACTTGTCTCTGCTGTACCTACGAAATGCTCTGCTATCAAACAGGGGCACACTGGATAACTCATAAATGTTCATTCCCTTTAGTTTTTGTAATGTTCTTTCCTAAACAGAAGACTATGTGGGCCCATTTGTAAATTCAATACATCGCTCACAAAATGATCAGATCTCGCAAAAAATATCACAATCTCACAAAGATGTTATACCATTGCTCAAACTTTTGTCTCCACTCAATTATATTTTTTTTGAGTTGTAGAAACATTTATCCTTCATTCCTAATGCATAATATTCTAGTATTTTTTACATGAGCTGTAGCTACGTTGAGCATCTTTTATTTGAGTGGCAGCCAGGACATCTTTTTTGTGAATGGTAGTATGAATACCCCCCGGGATAGACTGGTTGCATAGGTTGAAGCATGAGGTAGAACCGTCCCATGAATTTTATCAGGTTTAAATATCCTAATCACCAGTATGAGTACATAAACACCACAGTAAGATGGTTGTATCAGAAGGCATTCGGTTCTGTTCGGATAACTATTCCCTATTCTGCATATGCAAAATTGAACTTATCTATAGCAGACCATTTCTTTAGTTGGCAACATTGAAACTAGCTGGCATTATTGTCGGGATGAAGTAGTGCAGTGTACTTCCAGCAATAAAATGCATTCATGCTTGTCTTACTAAATGCATTGAGACCTTATTCCTAAGCAGTATGCTAAATTTGTTTGACAATATCAAGTGCTATATTACGAGCTGCCTTAAGTAGAATGTCATTTACCTTTATAATTATCATTAAAAAGTATAGGCACCCACCTTTGCTGCACGTAAAAATGCAGTAGCACTAGGTACTGTTGAGTATGCTAGTTGTTTTACAGCAGCATGTAGCAGTTTGGATATTCTTTTTAGCTACATATCGTAGACGGTAGTCTAGCTTACATGAGACTGTCATCAGCGCCCTCATTCCTGCCTGGGCTGTACTCTAGTTCCAAATGAATGCATAGTTCTTCTCTTCTCTCCACCCGCTTCCCTGTGTCTTAAGTTGTGAAGAATTACCTTCTTAAAAACGTGTGGTGATATATCAGCCTTATAGTAGGTCTCCCTCTTTTAGAACTTCCTAACTGTCCCAGTTCCGTAAAGTGTAACTTATATGGAACTGGGACTTAGAAAATAACTTAGGTAAATCCAGGGCTTCTGCTAGCCATATGAAAGCCAGGCTTTTTACTAAGTGGTCCCCATCAACTTGTTAACCCTCTTAGCTGATGTTCACTCTCTAATCTTCTCACAACTACTATATCTTCCAACCTCAAAATTTAATCTCTCCCCTCGCCTCCTGCAGAATTGTGGAACCCATTGACTTGCTCCATGCCTATAGTTATTTGTAAATAGCTTGTGGCCTTGTTGAAGTTTAATGTGGACCCGGTTTCCAAAGATGCTGTGGCTCGCAATCCTCACCTTGATAGTGAGCACTAGGAATGAGTCTGTGTTGTCTCTTTCCCTGGTCTTTCTTAGTTTCTTAATAGTTTTAGAACCAACACTTCAGCTACGCTCATCACATTGCTGATGATCCTATGCTTCTCTAGGGCTCCTATAATGTCTTTGTCCACAACATAGACTTTGTTTCTCACAACAATCTAGATGCAGACACGTTGGCATTGCGGCACCTCAATACTGAGATCAATATGCGCCTCAACCAGTGCAACACAACTGGTGCAGCTGGCCAGCTTCGGGCGTGGAGACAAATTGATCACGGCTGTCTACAATACACCATCTTGCCAGAATCAATATCTAAAATATAGGAAGAGTACTCCCAACCGTCGTGGTTGTCCCCTGCAGGTTCGACTTTCTGCCACCATTTTTAAGCTATTATTAACTATTTTCTGCAGATCGTGAAAGGGCCTGGATATTCCTGCGCTCCTTGCGTGTTGAGCAAGGCTATTGTTATCAGTCTAAATGACGAGGGCTCTGTTCAGTCGCCTGCTTGCACTAGGGCATCACCTCCGCTGCTACTTTGCATTTCAGCTCCGTCCCTGATTCCACCTCGAACTATAGTGAGGTTGTTGAGATGGAGGTGGACAATGCTGCTGACATGGTATGTTTTTAGCTTTCATTGTGTTTCTTTTAATAATCCTCTGGTCACTTATAATAACAGTTATTCATTGTTGTTAGCTGTGGATTGACCTGTTGCAGGCTTTAGCTATGCATGTTAACTTGCCTTCACCGTTTTATAGTGCTGGACTTCCTCTAATAAGGAATCGAACTCTGGTGCATAGATTTATTCTAGTAACTTTGTTGATTGCTGATAATAGTATATAGCTGCGGTAAGTAATACAATTGCCCGTACAATCACCGATCTGTCAACGCCCTCCCAACAGTTGCCCTGGGACCTCACCTGTGACACTGCCCAGACCTTAACGAGCCGCCGAGGCTCATCAGGCTGATTAGTCAGCATTGATCCATCGGTCCTGCCTTTCCGGACTTGTTCCTAGTTCCTGTTCCTGGTATTGAGTTCTCTCCTGTATGCTTTTAGTATAAAAAGGCATGTAGTAGAGTAGTTATGATCATCATATTCCTTTTTCTTCTCCCTCTCTAGTTGTGCTGTAGCCTTTGGTTGCAGTTAGAGCAGTTTGAAGGGCTCTTGCTTTTTTTGTTCTTTCTCACACCAGTGAGAAAAGACAAGAAAATGCCAGAGTCCCTCAAAGGGCTCCAACAGCAACTAGAGCTAAAAGCTCAAGAGAAAGAGAAGGATAAGGAAAGGAATATGATAATCATAACTATTCTACTACATGCCTTTTATACTAAAGCATATAGGAGACAACTCAATAGGAGGAACAGGAACCAGGAACTGAGGAACATAACTGCAAGAGGAGCCCGGAAAGACAGCATATCTGAATCAATGCTGACTAAGCACGGCTGACGAGCCTCGGCGGCTCGTCACCTCCTCCCAACTGAAAATATGACTGTCCCTAGTCACTAGATAAAAATATAAGCAACAAAGGGAACAGAGAAAATAAGTAGTAGACTTCATCAAGTCTGGAAACTTTTCCAACCAGGAAGTCCTAAAGCAACTGCACCACTGCCTCACCAGGCACTCGATTGGCCTGCGAATCGGCGAACAGTGCGAATGCAGATGAGAAGGTTGATCCAGATCGGAGGAAGTGGCTGGACAATTGAGCCCAAATGGTGTGAAAGAAGGGGAAGATATCGCAGCTGAGTACTACACAAGCAAGCATATGGTCGTGGGACTGTAGTTAGAGATGTCGAGGGAGCTGTTTTACGTCGAGCTCGTTCGAGTCAGGCCAAAGCCAAGATGCGCATGTGGGGTGATATTGTTTTAATTCATGGAATAGCAGTGTGCATAGTTGCTCGAGTGAGGGTGGAGAATCGGCATGTTTCGGTCGCTTTCGGGCGGTCAATTGTGATCGTCGTTACGCCCGGGTCACATGTCATCTTTTGCTTCCGTCTACCATCTTGCCGTTCTGCGCGGACAACCACCCGGGTAATGGTGCCCAAGATGACAATTCGAACGGCTGGGGAGCGATATGACGCTTGGATGGAATCGATAGGAGGTACGGTTTGAGGAGTAGAAGCAGAGGAATGGAGGAGGAATCACAAAGGCAATGCGATTTGGCGCCATGGTCTGAGCTGGGCGCGGGAACAGCGACGAACAGCGACGGTGAGTGGTTCTGGATAACGAGGGAGCTTATGCTGAGGTTGGAGCCGCAGAAATGGGCCTACACGGGCCATCTTGCATGCTTGTTGCACCAATGGCGACAGTACATTCGGAGGAGGTCAACGGTGCCAGAAACCGAGACTCTCAAGGCTCGGACGCGATGGAGGACTCAAATGGG